CCCAGACTCGGCTCCAAGGGACGAGGGGGCCCCAAGCTGTTTCCCGAGCGTTTCGCCTCGAACTGCAACTGCGACTTGGCTTACATAGGGTTTAGGGGTTTAGGGTTTAGGGTTTAGGGGTTAGGAGTTTAGGAGTTTAGGGGTGCAGGGCTTTAGGGCTTTAGGGTTTAGGGTTTAGGGTTTAGGGTCTAGGGTTTAGGGGTAGGGAGTTAAGGAGTCTAGGGGTTTATGCGTGTAGGGGTTTATAGCTTGGAAATGGTTTTAGGATTGGTTCTCTCTAGGAAATGTTTGTATGTTTCTTTAGAGTAAACCTCTTAGACAGTATCATCTATATAAAGACTGTTTCTTTAGAGTAAGCCTTTGGACAGTGTCATCTTTATAAAGACTAAACCCTAAACCCTAAACCCTTTGGATCGGCATGTTGGCTCAGCCTGGCAAGGACTTCTAGCTGTTCAGCGGTTGGAAAAGGGCCCGTGATAAAAAAAAAAAAACCTTTGGACAGTATCATCTTTATAAAGATGGGGCTCATGGGTCGTATGGTATTCAAGGTTCCGACTTCAGGGAGTCCGGTCTAGCCCCTGGGGTCTGGGCTTCAAGGCCCCTGCAACCCTTAACCCTAAACCCCTAAACCCTTAAAACCCCTAAACCCCTAAACCCTTAAATCCTTAACCCAAAGCCGTTTAGGGGTTGAAGGTGAGCGGCTTAGGCTTCAGTTTGAAACTAAACTCAGGTTTGGTGGAGTTTAGGGTTTAGGGTTCAGGGCTACTTAAATAAGCGCCGTTGCAGTCCCGATGTTGGGCAACCAACTGTGTGCCCAGGACCCTATATAGTATACATGCGAGGTAACGACGAGGAGGTAAACCCTAAACCCTACACCCTAGCTACAACGGAGACTATAGGTAGAGTTTGGGCAGAAAATACGGTTCGGGACTGGGGTTGAAGTGGGCTTGGCGGCAGTCTTGCCAACTTGCTGCTTTCCGCCTTTGGCGGATTTGCCCCGGAGGAGGTTGTACACGCGGTGCATGTTGGGCATTGCATTAGTCACTGCCTTATAGGATCCTTGAAGCAGGTCGGATATTAGGGAACTTCAGGGAATCTTAGGGGACTATTCTGGGGGGTAATGGGGATTTTCAAGTTCTGCGCCCCCCTTGGATCCCCTTAGCTTCGGGTATATGGAAGATGCCTTAAGCCGTAAGTGGAACCCCAGCTCTGGTAAAGCGTGAGGATTTAGAGTTTTGGGTTTAGGCACTGGGCACCACTGAGATTTGAAATCGGTCGCTCACAGTCAGACAGCGGGCTGCTGATCCTTGGCGTGAACAGCCGTGGCACCGTTGTGGTGCCATCCGATGCCGACGTGGCGCTGCCACACTCGTCTTCGGCGGTCCTCAGCAAGCTCGCAAAGTATCGCAAGTACGTGTCGTATAGCTTGTAAAGGTGCAGACTGTGAGCATCGTGCGACACTGTATGCCACTCTATACATTCTACCATATTCCAACGCATGGTACCGCACAACATAGTAGAACACAGTTACATACATCACGAACATGAAATATATTTCATGTTTGTGATGTACGTAAATGTACTGAGCTTGTTCTACATATTTTAACCCTGGCTGTATAGATGAACACCTATTCACCTCCTGCCTACCTACCCACCACTTTTCTTCCCTCCATCCCTTCCTTCCTCCCTTCCTCCCTTCCTCCCTACCTACATCCATGCATACATACTTACTTACTGACTTACACACACACACATACATAGTTACCTGTGTGCACATATACACACACACACACCCATATAGCAACCACCGGAACCTCATGTAGCGTGCAGATTTTGGTTTCTGAGGAAGGTAGTCACCGGCCCCCAACATGCATGTCAGGCAGCCCTTGGTGCCAACGGGGACCCCAGCTCTGGGCGCGGAGGCTGGTGTTTGTGCGCGATGAACAGAAGGTGGGTTTAGGGTTTAGGGTTTAGGGTTTAGGGTGGTCGGTCCTCTCGGAGTGAGATGCACCATCAGCATCAACAACTGCATCAGATCAAAACTGGAAGGAAACTGTTTGCAGCAGTAGCAGTGGCAGTCGCAGTACGACAGTACGACCGTACGCCAGTACGACAGTACGAGTAGTAGTAGTCGTAGTAGTAGTAGTAGTTGTAGTAGTAGAAGTAGTAAGTAGCAGCAGTAGTAGTAGTAGGAGGGGCCCCCTACCTACGACACCTGCTCTAAACCATCTTAAGAGCACATCCATTTTGCTCGCTATGATGTTTTTTCCTGTACTCTCGTAATCTCCTACCCCTTCTTGTTGTCTCAAAATCCACTTGTCGACTTTGCAAACAGGTGGCGTGGGATGGGGGTGGGGGGTGGGGTAATGATGACTCGTTTGTGCATTTTACTCGTTATTTGCAATACTTTCGTAGTGTCCTACCACTGCTTGCTGCCTCAAATATCAATTAAACTTGGCCAGCTTTAGTGCTTGTGATGAAGATGAACATGATGTTTTCAACCGGCAGGTCGTTAATAGGGGGGTGGCTAGTAGTTGTAGTAGTTACTGCTGCTGCTACTGCTACTGCTGCTGCTGCTGCTACTGCTGCTGCTACTGCTGCTGCTACTGCTACTGCTGCTGCTGCCACCACTGCTGCTGCTGCTGCTCCTGCTCTGCTTCTGCTACATTGCTACTACCACTGCGGTTGCTGCTGTTGCTGCTGCTACTGCTGCTACTGCTGCTGCTCTGCTACCGCTACTGCTACAGCTACTACTGCCACGATTACAAGTGGCCGTAACTGTAGTGTCTGCAGTATTGAGCGGCTCCACCTGCTTCGGAGTGCAGGACGCTGTCTGGGTGACCCGCGCCTAGGCATCCCACTGGAGGGAGGAGTGCGAGGCCAGAAGCGCAGCGACCGAAGCAGCCAAGGAGCGGATGCCGTGCATTCCAATTCAATCACTTGTTATGTGAGTGATGTTTGGTTACACCATACACGGAGTTGTTGGATGTTGCTTGCTTTGTTTTTTGTCTCTAAAGCTCGCGCATTTGGACACAGCTCGAGCCACAATCTGGATCCTAAGCAAGCCCCTGCGGCAGGACCTGGCGCCCAACCAGTGCCCGCTGTGCCGTGCAGACATAGGCCTGTGAAGGCATAGCAGATTTAACAATGGTTGACAATCGCAGATTCAATGCTGTCTGTGACTCCAGGCACGGGAAAAGAGCAGGACTGGCTGCAACACATCCTCCGAGATGGATGCGTCCAAGCCTTGGACAACACTGAGCTTCACACAGCAACTGGAAGCCAGTCCATGTGTATGGATAGGATGGCATGGTTGTCAGGGCGTGAAGGTGCTAAATTGAGGCCTCATGTTCATGACGGTTCATGACGGCGTGAAACAGGTGATCAGCGCTAGGCTGTGACTGGAAGATGGTCAGCGCAAATGTTGTGAGTCTCGCGCCGAGGAAGGAAATCCCAGGAAATTGCCAACATGAGAGTCTCGAGCAAGCAGCAATTCATCAATGCACGAGTTAGAGTAGTCTTTCCTGCAGCACGTAAAGCCCAAAGTCCAGCAAGCTACAAGTCTTACTCTTCGATTCCCAGTGGACACAATGTGTCAACCAGAGGCACGACTACCAAGTTGGAGTATTGCATGCAATGTCTCACCTCAGATGATCAATTCAGGTCTTCTGACCCTACGATAGCATCGAACCAGTTGAAGGTAGTCCCTCTCTCATGC